CTCCCGCCGCCCGCATCGCGCCGGTTGCCGGGGCGGCGGGGCCGGGCGGGGCCGGGCGGTACCTCCTGCCCTTCCCCCGGGGAGAGCTCCGGGAATGGGTGCGGCCATCCCCAGGGACAGCAGGCCTGGCCACCTCCTGCCGGCACAGGCACAGACCCAGGTATCATCGACCGTTCTGCTCTATCAGCGGCCCCTGGTGTGTGTGACTCGGCGTTGCCGCAGCAGCCGCGGGCACACGGGCCGCGGGCACACGCACGGTGAAAACTCGGACCCCCTGAGGGGCGTTGCCCCTGGTTCTCAAAGGGCGCCTGGTGTCACCTGGGGCAGCTGATGGAAGTAAAGGCAGAAGGGTCCAGCCCAGCTGGATGGATGCTGCAGACCTACTAACACTCAGAAGTGCTTGCTTGGTTTTAATGCTGCTTTTTATAAAATGGGCTCTTTGAGATGCTGTTTATCCGACTGAAGTTGACTTCACTCTCCCTTTTTTCCCCACTGTTAACAGTTCTGAGAGAGAAGAGCAGCCAATAATTAGAACAATCAACAGGTAATGCTGGCAATGAGCAGACAGGGAAGCTGTCCCACTCACCTGGCCAGGAGGTTTGTCCCACAGTAGCTTCCTTGAAATCAAGACTTTGCATACAGTAGCCAGAATGTCTGTGATACAAACCAAGCCTAGTTACACAAGTGCATGATGTCATCCATTTCTGTGTTTATTTCTTGATGTGTTTCAAGACATATTCATCTTCCACAGATGTCCTGAAACCACTTTCACAATAACAAGCGTTCCAAATCATCTCACACCACTCATAGTTTAGAGGTGGGCAACAAAGGTGCCCTTCTTGATCAGAGCATCACAGGGATCAATATATGCCAGTTACAAAGGTGCTTCAGCTGTTAGTGGTGTCTGGAAGGACCCTGAGATCACTCAGTAAAGTGGGTTTTGTGCTGCTCTCATACCGAGTGTCCTGCACTAAATTAGCTGTAGCTAAGACTCAACACAGTTGAGGTTCATCTTTTACTAATGCCATATTCATAACATTATAACTTTACTCAATTTGCAGGGGACAACTAACAGGATCTTAATGGTAGAAAGTAATTTCCTTGCAAAGTACAAGGAAAATATAAACTGAAACTACTTTATCATCCTGTGAATAATGCTTTTCATTTGTGAACAGGTGATGGCATTGATAACTGAGCTTCCAATTAAAAATATGACAAAATACTTTGGGTTAAATATTTTATTTCATAATAAGCCTTATACCAGGTTCACAAAACATCTTGTGTATCACCCAAATAAGTTAAATTCATTCTGAGCTTTTAGGCAGTTTTTAAAAAGTTAAAATTTCTCAAGAAGAGATTTTCAAGTGAACTGTAGTAACGTCTGAATAACCCAGCCAGAATTCTTTCACATCAAGTAAATGTTCCAGTTTTCCCTCCTGCTCTGACATTTACAAAAGCCCCTCCAGATTTTCACTGATTAAATGGAAAGTCACTGAAATTGGTGAGACTTTCTGAATACCTCGAATACCAGGTATTCAGGTGTTCGTTTCAGGTATGAGCAAATAGACTGAGCTGAGGTGCAAGAAGTTACATTTTGCCTGAGGAGAACCCTGAAGTATCTTAAATGAAAACCTTGTTGCAAAGGGACAGAGCACCACTGGTGAGCATCCAGAACACCAACAGGAGGCAGCAAACCTCACATTCACAAGCTCCACCAGAACTTTTAAGGGGAGACAGCATTTATGCAGTCCTCAACTATTTCAAAAAGGTAGTGATAGACATCAGTCCTCCTGGCAATGTCAAGGGCCGTTTCATCCAAGTTGTTTTTCAGGTCTGCGTTCACGTAACGATTCATCAGCAAGAGTTCCAGGGTTTCTTTACTGTTTTTGTTCCCTGCAGCAATATGCAGTGGTGTCAGCAACCCATTTGTCTGGGCGTTGATGTCTGCACCCTGCTGAAGCAGGAAGGCAGCCACGCTGGTGTTGTTCCACTTGCAGGCACTGTGCAGAGGTGTCCAGCCATCCACCGTCTGCGCGTGCACGTCTGCCCCCTGGGCCACCAGCTCATGGGCAATGTCCAAGTGCCCACTGTAGGCAGCTCGGTGGAGAGGAGTGTACTGGTCTTCATCACGAGCATTGACTGGAGCCAGCTTTTCAGAAAGGAGCCTCTTCACCGTGCTCAGCTATTCAAAGGAAACAGGTGATTTAACACATGGAACTCTGCGAACAAGATGTGTGGCTCCTCCTGGGCTCACGTTGCATGGAAAAGCAATTTCCCATCAGCCTTAAGAAGGCTGAAGTGCAACAAGGAATTTTAAAATGAAATCAGCTACTGTCACTGTGGTGGGGCTTTTTGTGGGTTGTTTGTCCTGCAGTATTTCCTTAAAGAAATAAAACACCCTTGAGGTCCAATGCCTTAGGAGAGCATCTTTACCTTACACCTCCCCGTGCACTGTGAAGACCTAAGTACCTCCTCAGGACTGTAGATGGAGCTTGTGTGTGTAAGAAAGGCAGCTACTGCAAATACATGGACATCGGGGTGTAATTAGTTAACAAACAGGATAGCTTTGTAACAGGAATCTTGGTCATCTATCCCTCACTTCCAAGAATAAAAAGCTTTTTATTTTCCTCCCCATAAACCAGCAGAAAAACAGTCACCCATTATCTGCATCAGGAGCTTTTGAGAATATACAATTTCAGATACACCCTGTCCACCCCACTTAAAAAGGCTGACTTGCCATGGAGAAAGAGCCTGGTGTGCTTCCTATAGAAGTTTAAGAGTGCTCTTACTTCAACTGTGAACTGCAACCCAATCTTCTGCTCTGAAAGCTAATGGATACAAAGATGTGGGTTTTTTTTTTTTTGGGGGGGGGACTACAAAGGGAGAGATTTCACGTACAGCAGCTTGCAAAATGGGTCAGGGGGATAAAGAAAAGCGTAAGTAAACTCTTGTTTGTAGTTGAAACTGTAGACATCAGCTCAACATAACACTGTTGCTGTCAGTGCTACATAGGAAAAGAATCAACGCCTTACCCGATTGTTTTCAGCCGCCCAGAGTAGCAATTTCTCCGGGTGTTTTTCCATCTTTTTTTCTTGCATTTCATACCATTCCTCACTTCTTTCTTGTTCTTCCTCGTCATCATCATCAGACTGTCCCGACCAGCAGCTCTGAGTTCCCACCGGAATCAAATGCCTGTGCGTCTCCAGGAGCTCAAGTTGGTTAAAATTCTCTAAAAAGGCTTCAAACTGCTCGTCGTAGTCGTCATCGTCATCGACCTGTTTGCTTTTACTCATTTTCAGCGGGCATCTGCAAGCAGCGGACACGCAACCACGCTCAGCACGACTTTCAGCGTCACCCGGGCACTTCCTGCCGGTGAAGCTCCCGAGGGACGCGGCAG